TTTTCATAAGGACAGAGATACCATGTGGGGTATTGCCACAACGAACTCAAGTGAGAGTATCAACAATGTCTACAAGGGGGTTCGTGCACTGCCAATCTCTGCCATTGTTGAGATGACATTCTGGAAAACAAACGAATGGTTCGTAAATCAAATCCACTGGGCAAAGACGAATGAGGCACAGGGTAAGGTCCATTTTAATAAAAGCCACAAAAATAATGGACAAAGACAATCAGAAGAGCAGTCGGCATAGAGTCACCGTTATAAATCGAGATGTTGGCAAGTATTCAGTCTAGACTAGGTATTATTTGAATGGTAGACGTGGGGTGGCATCGATATGAAGTCAATGTAAACTTCAGGACAAAACAAGGAGAGTTCTCCTGCCATAAGTATCAGGGGAGAGGGTGGCCTTGTTCTCATGCAATGGTCGTAATCAAGTACAGGAGCAAAAAAAAAACCCACCACTTCGTAAGTCCTTTCTTTAACATCGACTCACTCAGAAGCTGCTATGGAAGGAGTTTTCGTGCATTGCCGGATGAAGCTTACTTGCCAGTGTATCAAGGAAAGTTGATCATCTCACCGTTCGGACAAAGGGGTGAACTGGGTCGGCCGAGGGTATAGAGGATTCCTAATGAGATGGATCAAAGTGGAAGACCACCGCGAGGCCCACGACGTTGTTCCATAGGAAAAGTTCCCGAGCATGATAAATGAAATTGTCCTGGACCAATTAGGCCTCAGAATCCTGGACCTGACGTGGAGAACCTAGATAATGGCGCATAGATTGCTTAATAATGTATTTTCAGCTGATTTGCAAATTGTTGTGATTTTAAAATTATGTAGTTGGAACTTGTGTGTTTGCTCAAAGTCATGGTATTTTGCAACATCGACCAGAATTTCTCATTAAAGTCCAACTTGTGGAGCTTAAAACAAAATAAACACACCACTAAAATAAGTCAAAATTTAGAACTCAAAACACAATAAATACAAACTCAAAGAAGACCAACTCATGCATTCCCTCATTGTTGTGCCATCTACTTCCTTGTTCGACGGCCGACGGGTGTAACAATGGCTGAACGTGGTGGCAGTGGTCGAGGTGTCGTGGTAGGGTGTTGGTTCGTGCTATGGCGATGTCGGTCCGTGCTAGGTGGCTCTTCCGTGTTTCAACGGGGGACATCCACACTCATACGGTGGGGAGTGGTAGGCCATTGATGATGAGGTAGGATTGAAGTCTTGGTGGCCACTCGAGGAGGAACCATCATGCAAAGTACTCAAGAATGTGCCTTCGTGGTAAGTACTCGGGCGGGGATCATAGTAAGTACTCAGATGAGGATGGTGCCAAGTACTTAAGCAGGCATCGTAGTAAGTACTCCAATGAAGATCGTGCCAAGTACTCGGGCGGGGGTCGTAGTAGGTACTTGGTCGGGGATCGTAGTGAGTACTCGGTCCGCCATAGTGTTAGTACTCGGTCTGCCATCGTGGTACACCTCCAAAGGAGGAGGAACATGCCACGCCTCAATCGGCTTGACCTTGGGCACGTGAGGTCGGTCCCTTGTGCTCTTGTTTTGTCTTCTTTCTTATGGAGGTGGCGGGTTGGGGACATCAACAGATACCTGAGGTGTAGGAGCAGAGGGCATCGGCGGATATCTATGATGATCACACCAACGCACTCTAACATCGTCAAGAATACCGTTCGTTATCTTACGAATGAGCCCCATATCTCAGCGCCCCAAAGAATCCCCACTACGGGCTATAGTATGAATACCCTCGAATCCATCAACCTAAACCACACCAATTAACGAAGTTAGGCAACTAAAAGTAATGATATGCATAACTACTAATATGTTGCTAAAAGTAAATAAAATGAATTGATTCCACGAAATTACTTACCAAAGCACTGTCCACCGCACCTTACGGCATCATGTTTTGGACCGATTATCTTTGGTACTTTTCCATGTATGGGTCAGATACCCCATCCGCCCCATAGCTGTTGGAGTGACAATATCTTCATCTTGCTTATGGCTCCACGGCTCGATGAAGTCCCTCAACTTGTGCGGCTAATCACAAACACTTTGTCAACCATCTTTCTTGTGGTACACCTTTTGACTTGCGAGGACCTTTAAGGGTAAGCAATGCTCACGACCAAATTGCTGTAAGCATCGATCCTGAAAGTGTCACTCCATAATATGGCGAGAAATGGGTGGAACTCGCGTGCACCATTGACCGGGATGCAACGGGAATTTGTGGACGTGATGATGAACGATGTTGTCAAGGTACAGATCGAATATGAGCTACAAAAGAGAGGACCAAATTTAACCATTCAATAAATATAATAATGTACATCGAAAATAGCAAATGAAGTAGATGTATTATAATGGTTACCTCTGCTTCCTAAAGGTGATCCAGCCTCCTACGATACTCTTCCAGCTTGTGCCCCATGAGGTTGTCGCATGTTGTTTGACTAATCCACCTCATTCATGAGGACAATCATACAATGTTATAACCAACTAACTATTTTACTATCAAATCATGAAGTACAACAAAAAAATCAATTGGTGTGAGTGGGTAGGAGAAGTTTACCTACAACCATAATTTTGGAGTCTATAGGGATAGTCGGATCCCCATTCCTTGTCGGGTTCTGCGACAGGAAATCCATGGAAGATGCTCCCAAACCCAAAATTGGACAATGAACAACGCCCAATTAATCTCCTTCGCCGCTCTAAGAGTTGCATTACAAATGGAACAATAGATATGAGCTAGGCAAGCGGATGCCCAGCTCAGGTTCCCCATAGCCTCCGAAGGACCAAAGAGGATCTTCAACCATCCATTGTTGATTAAGTTGTTGGATTTTTTGGGGAAGAACACTCCTCCGATCATGTCGATGAGGTAGACACGAGCATAAATTTCCTTGTCCACCTCCTCACTTTCCTCAGTGAGGGGAATGCCTTCAAAATCAGGGTCATGCTTCATCTTGATCTCCGTTGTCAACCAAGTGATGGTTACTTGGGCCTTCCTCAATGGTGCATTACCATCCTCCTCATCTTCTCCTTGTCCATTTTCTGGCACCAACAAAGCCAAGGTGGTCCATAGCAAATACTGCCAACCGCTCATCTCTTCAACATCTGAAGGTGGGGGATGATCGTCCACACACACAACATCGCCATCGATGGGCAAATCGGTTAGGATGGCGATGTCCTTCAGTGTGATGGTGCACTCGCCTTCACGAAAGTTGAAGTTGTGTGTCTCCTTTCGCCATCTCTCCACCAATGTTGTTATGAGTTGGCGGTCGATCTTTATCCCTACAAATTGCTTCATCGAATCCAACTTTGCTCTTCTTAGAAAGCGCAAGATGGCGTCGTTCCATGGGAGCACATTGCTTGTACCCCTATACCGGACTATATGGTGTGCATCCTAGTGAAGAATTTAACTTTCACCATAAGTTTATGATTTATAAATATATAAATTAATTATATATTACAATACAAATTAACAAAATCAAAGTTTTTTCCAAGATATATACATAATTTAGTAAAAAACATATTCAATTAACTAAAATAAATAGCATTTTCAAAAATTAAATAAAATTAATTTTGTACACATACACATAAATCCATTATATTATTTTGTAAATCGTATTGGTTGTTTTTAATAATTTAAAGCAGTGCAAGTACACTCATTAGATTCTTAGGAGAGGTATACATCTCCTTAGAAACACAACATTTTTTACAGAAAAAGGGGATCTGAGGATCGCTTAAAACCTAATTTTCTCATGAAATGGGAGGATCATGATGATTGTTTAAGACCGCATTTCCTTAGGCATGCATGTCTTTATAAAGAGTCTAAGTAAGTGGCACAATATATTATCCTAAATAATTGAAAATAATCAATACGATTAACAATTAACAAATTTCTTTTGCAAACCATTAACTTACGTTAATAAAATAAAAAATGACAAATGATGATAAATTATATGTACCTTGTTATCGTTCCAAACATCTCTTGAATGATGGTTAGCTTGGTCGTATAGCACGGATGGATCAATCGGTTCTTGATCAAGATAATATCTTTGATTGCATATATTCACGTCCTCCACAACCTACAATAGCATAACAACAACATAAAATTATTAGAATATAGATTAAATAAAAAAAAAATTAAAACAACAAAAACTTGATAAAATGAGTACGTACCGCTTGATAGTCATCATAATAAATATCCTCTTCTTCAAACCAATCAACCATTTTTTCAGGAAGCCGAACAAAGTTCCGACCTATTTTGAAATGTTTTTTATGGCAATTCGAACTTAGCCGCAATCAACAGACCACTATTTTCTAGGTTTTTTGGTGGAGAGGATAGATAGAGAGAGAAGAAGAAGAATGAGTTTTGTTGTGAAGAATGAATGAGAGGGGGGTTTTATAGCACACATACCACATGTTGGGGGGCGGTTTGGTCATTTTACACCAAACGAAAACCGCTCCCTCCGCCAACGGCTTACTTTTTCAAACGCAAAACGCGCTTCAGAGGAGTGGATCCTTATCCCAGACGCGGATCGGTGAGCTGGCAAGCGTTCTTCCGTCGGATCGCGCCTTCATCCGACGGTTCCGCGGACTGCCACGTTGTCACGCGTTTTGTCGGACGCCCTAATGGAAACCGCCTCCCCACTGAGTGGTCCGTATGTAAACCGCACCTTCCCTAAGTAATCTTCATTAAATGGTGGTATTTCTGAAACTATTCCAGGTTGGATGGTATTTTTAGGAATTTTTTTAAATAGTGGTATTTCCGGAAAAAAAATCCATAATATATATGCTTTACGCCGACATCAAATGTATGAATAGACAAATGGTAATTTGAGTTCATTGGTATGACATATAGCACGCTTTAATCTCGCCATTTAAACATATGGTGTTACTTTTACTCTGCATTAACCCTACTATTCTTTGACAGTGAAGGTCAGGGCAAAAATCGCATTCTTGTTATATAAAGGTAACGAGGAATAAACAAAGCACTACAAAAAGTCATATATATTGTACTACTCTCATTAAGTATGTTTAACTTTGAATTCCAACAGAATTCAGTGCATTAATCCTCATGTATCGCACCCCAAGGTTAGGATTCGAATTCAAACACGATTTTCCCATCCTGTAAAGAAACTACAAAGAGAGATCTTCTATGTGATTAGCAGTAGCACATCAGAACAGTCATGTCGTCCTCCCCTAGTGAGATCGCGGGACAAGTTCATCACTGTATAGAAAAAGTCGAGATTGAAGCAAAATGACATTTTTACAGGTTTTTACAAACCGGCTACTTTGTTTGCGTTTGACCCTGGCTGGCTCGAGCCGGGTGGGTTAGGCGCCACGAGAGACGGAGTGGTCGTCCTTTGGAAGGGCCACATAGTTGATAGGCGCCACGTTATGGTACCGGCTCTCTCGGCGCTCCTTTCCAGCAGAAGGTGCGTTGTGACGGCCCAATGAGGTGGGCCCACGGCGTCCCATGGGTGTCCCGACCATAGTGTTGTTGGCGGTGCTTTGGCCCAGTGGTTTCTTGGGCCGCGACCCATAAATTGCCTCTTGCTCAGCTGCCATCTGCTCTTGTACACGCCTGTGCTCCTGCAAAAATGTGCAATAGGGAAATTGTGGCATCTGACTTCAGATTCTGATATGCTTTCACAAACCCAAATTTAAGAGACCAATGACCATACCTTTGTGCGTCGCCTCGCGTCTTCTCTTTCGTGCCTCATTGCAGTATATTCCTCCAACATCCGTAACAGGGGAGCCTGAGGGTTTGTGAATACATATTAGGAAAGTCCATACACTATGTATATGTATTGTTCACACAGATGCAGACAGCAAGAGAATCGTGCGTTTACCTTGTCACACTGGAAAGAAATGCCTCGCTCCAATTCCCAGGCTTTCACTTTTGAAGTCAAATTCTCAACCATAGCTGGGTGACATATTTGCAGAGTAATGAGAGCTGGATCAATTCTTGAAGAGGCAGTTAAACATACAAATGAAAAACGTTGCTGCTACAAGCAAGATTTGTCATGGTTCAACAGTTATCCATCCAATGCAATGAACCATTTATCCGAAGATGGCCATAGACACCACAGTTGGTGATGTGAAAACATATAAATTAGTCATTTTATAAACAGAAATTAGTTGCTAGCTCACATGGTATTTTGCTGACTAGAATTCTTGCCTTCTCTGCACGCTTCAAATTTTTATGCGCACCTCTCCCTGCACTGTACCGATTTTCATCCTGACAAAATGAACAATGCGATGCTTATTCACCCACAATACCAATTTCAGACAAACTTCAGTATGAAGTTGCATAAATGGAAAGACTCAAGATTTCCACTTCAGGGTACAATGGTCTGCAAACCAATAAATTAAACAAATAAAGAAACAAGCATATGTTTCTACCCGAAGTTGCTAATGTTTGCTGACTCAAAAGAATATAAACTCTCAAGACTTTGGTAAGACAAAGTTGCACAGCACCAGGCACAACAGTTGCCAACAGCCCTGAATCCTTCATGTAGTGATGTAGAGGGTTACAGGAACAAGTATACACTGCATGATTGGAACAAGTAGAAACATACATAATTTGAAAGAAAGAAGGAACATCATAGTTTAACACTCAAGAGCAACAGCATTCAGTTAAATGAGCAACTACTGGCATGTTGTTGAGATCACAAACGTAGAATCAACCAACCGATAACACATGAGTCAGTTAATAAAAGATACAAGGAACGCCGGTCACAACCTGTGGGAAAGGTCATGAAAACAATCCAGTAAACAAAATGGGGATGACTAGTGGCTATGGGTTAAGATTGATGAATTGACACCACAACTATGATACCCTTAATCTTGCAGAACATAAACATCATGTCTCACGCCAAGCAACAATACTTGCTGAAAACTACCCCAACCATGGACCTTTGTATTCTTCAAGTTATGAGTTGTACCATCCTACCCCCACATTTGATAACCTACCACCATATTTGATAATATTAACAAAAACTGAATCTCAACAGAGGAATACCGTCCAAGGGAACAATGAGTACAATCAATCATTGCAGAACCACAGAACTGCTTCCTAGATGTTTATAATTTTAGCATGTGGGAATGATCTATAGACAAGACAAGATGGATAACAATAGCTCTCATAAAGGACCTAAATGTACAAAAATATAAATGCTAAAATCAATTGCCCGTCAATCATATTCACGATGGGGGAAAGTGCAGATTCCGTATTTTACTGACTAAAACTACATTTAGGATAACCTATATATTTCAGAGATTATTACCTTTTCATAGTCTTCAAGCCACTTTTCTTCCTCATAAGCATGTTTCCATTTCTCTACCTTGTCCAAAACCTCCTTCCGGCTTAGTGATAGCTCTTTGGCCATTGTTATCTGGTTGTCCATACTGGAGAGCAGATCAGAGAGCTCAACATTTCCTGTGCAAGCACAATTTATGAAAACAGTACAGGAAGGCACAACCGTTAATTGCCAAAATCTCACTCTAGACCATCAACTAAAGAGTTTTCATAACAGTGATTATCATATATGTATGTATCAAATTGAAACACGTGCAAGCAGTAGCAAACTGAACCAAAACTTTCTGATTACCAGATTCAATTAGGTTGATAAGAGCCCGCCGTGCTGCATCAGCATCTATCTCCATATGAACATCTATGTATATTGCTTCCAGCTCATTTTGTCTTTTCAATACCAACTCTTTCATCTTGCCGGCTTTGAGAGCATTCAATCTCTCAACTTCAACCTCAGTCTAATTGCAGCAGCAATGTTGTAAATTTTCAACAAAAAAGAAGCACACTATGGTAAATCCTAAAATGATAGGCAAGAAGAGACAGTTCCTGTACCTGCTCAATGACATCAAGTGCAAGGCAGCCTTGTCTTGATGCCTCATCCAATGAGGAAGAAATTAGTGAAGTAACATGATCAAATTTTCCTTGTTCCTCTACATTTGTGTCCATAAGATCCCATAGCCCCATTAGTGTCTTCCCAAGATCTTGAAGCTTCAGTAATGAAAGATGCATGCCAAAACAAATTGAAGGAAATTATCAGAAGCAAGACCTCGTAAAAGAAAACCAAGCCATACTAGTACCATTTTTAGACACTAGCTAACTTAAGAACCTACCTCATTTATCTTATTAAGGAATAGTAAAAATATATAAGAGCAATACCAAACTTCTTCATAGCACAAGAACTTGGTATTAGGAATAACATAAAAAAAACAACGAGCTACTTTACAAAGAGGAAATGGAAGCCTGAGCTTGTAACTTTTGATTGGTTGCATCGCAATTATATAGAAATTCTTCCGAGTGAAAATTTAGCTGATAAGTCAATATCAGAAATGAGAACAGCAAGACCCAAGGTCTACGCATGAATGGTAGTCAGATCACTCAAGTCCTAGTGCTTTCATTAGCATCATTTTCATGTAAGTACTTCAATTCTCTCTGAGATCATTTATATATAAAAGGGGGCACAAGAACCAGAAAGGAATAATAAGCAAGCTCATCAGAATATCACCTTATGTAGCCTATCCAGCTTCTCTTGCCTTAATGATTGAATCACACTAGTTAATCGAGCTAGTGTGTCATTGCTTATGCTCTTTGACTGAGTATGATCACATAAGCTGGGATGGATATCGGCAACAGTGTTGGAGAAATCGATTGACATTACAACTGACAGCTCGTGAATTTTGCCGAGAGAGCTGCTAACCTTATGCAGACGCAGATTCTGAAAATCAGGCACGGCAAAAATTGTGAACATAGAGCGAGATTAGGAAAAAATGACAAGTCAAGGAAATAGTTAGCTTTAGAACCTTTTCCGTTTGGAGTTCGTTGAGGTGTGACTTGAGTTCGCCCAATTTCTTCACAGTCAAATCACGTTCATCAATTTTCGGATCAACAGTGTTGATATCATTTCCTGCTATTTCCGCACAGATTTGAGCAATCTGCAACTGAGTCTTATGAAACTCGCTCATCCGTGCTTGTTTCCTCTGCCTCAAGTCTTGCAAAGCAGGTTTGAGGGCGGATAACTGCTGCTTCAGAGAGCCCTTTACGCTCTTCAATGGACAAAAATCAAAACCCCCGAATGAGAACAATAACAAAGCTGCAACAGTGAGTACAAAGTTATTGGAGGGACTGTGCAATGCAAACAAACCCGAGGAAATGAGGCAGTTTCCCCAAGAGCGGAAACAAGGACGCCAATTTCAGTTTCTCCGTCAGCCAATGACTGAGCCAACTCAGCTTTGTGCTTCCTGCTGGAGTCGACTTTTCTCCGGTAGATATCAAGGCACTCTTGTTCAAGTTGCTGAAGCATCCTGTCCCTATCCCCGTCCTCCTCCCCAATTTCATCCCATATTACCTTCGAAACAACACATTTCATCAGAGTCCGCCAAAACGAGAAGTTAAAATCAAGCTCAAATCTGACATCTCAGACACAAGATCGAGCGAATTGACCCCTTGGCGACCCAAAAGTAGGCCTAATTATCAACGGAGCCAGAGAGGGGGGCGAAACAACTTATTTCGACGCTAATTACAGTACTGAGACAAAGGCAAACTGGAATCCATCTTTTAGCAGGAACAGAGATAGCCATTGTGACGAAGCGGAAACGATAGCGCATGAATTTTGACTACGATAGCCGCCGTAGAGAGAGAGAGAGAGAGAGAGAGAGAGAGAGAGAGAACCTGCAACTGGCGAAGGAGAGAGGCGCAAGTGGTCCGAGAGGGAGAGACGAGAGCGGGCGTCGTCGCCATTGTCGGAGGAGTGACGCCTGATTTGGAGAATGGAGAGTCTGGAATATGGGAAATTGGGAGTGAAAGAAAGGAAATGGAGCAAGAAACCCTAGAGTTCCAGGGGGAGCGTTATAGGCGCTCCTTGTCGACAGTGGGACTGGAGTTGGGCGGCTGATTACTGGGCAGCGGATTTTTGTTCGCAGTTTTGAGGGGAGGGAAGATCCCGATTATTCTTTTTCCTTATTTATGACAGAGACCCTTTTCCAAATAAAACGTACACATTTTGAGTCACGATTTTGGCGCCACAACGGCCCCTTTTTATTTGTTGAACAAAATGCTTAATATCGCAAGAGGGCTCAACTTCGTCCAATTTTAGCGTTTGTAGCACAAACTTTTCGAAAATCATATTTGTGTCTCGAGATTTTGTGTTTTGAATTTTGATGATATTTGGCATTTGTTAGTATGGTGGTAGTATTAGTTTCAACTTGTAAAATTCCAAAGAAACGGAACGCATAAGAGAAATACGAGACCGATTTGTGTGGTTTCCCTAATCAATGTGACCAGAACTAGTCCACGGAGAGCTAGAAGCTCTCAAAGTCATTTTATTTCTTCTGTTTCTTTCACTTAGGGTTCGGTTGTACCTTTACAGCCAATATATACAAAAACAAAGTAACCCTACTCCTTCTACGTTAACAACTAGGAGTTAGGGAAAATAGCCAAGACGATCCCTATGTTTAATACAATGTCTATAGGAATCACAACACTCCCCCTCAAGCGAAGGAGTGAATGTCAAGAAGTCCGAGCTTGACGAAGAGATAATAAAACTAGTCAACGCTTAATCCCTTCGTGAATAAGTCGGCCGGTTGATCAGAAGTAGCAATCTTCAGAGGAGCAACATCACTAGACAGAACTTGTTCCCAAACGAAATAAAAGTCCATCTCGACATGTTTGGTTCGTTCATGGAAAACTGGATTAGAATCTATGTGAAGAGTTGCTTGATTGTCACAAAATAATGGAGTAGGCGCTGAAAATGGAACGCCAAAATCACAAAAGAGCCACCTGAGCCAAAGCACTTCACTCACAGTGTTGGCCATGGCACGATATTCTGCTTCGGCAGAGAATCGAGCTACAATGGTCTGCTTCTTGGTACGCCAAGAAATAGGAGATGAACCTAACATGATGAAGTACCCAGTCGTGGAGCGACGAGTGAGAGGGTAGCCACCCCATTCGGCGTCGCAATATGTCGTTAAAGTGAGTGGACTAGTAGCAGAAAGGAAGAGCCTGCGACCTCGAACAGATTTGAGATATCTTAAGACACGAACTGCAGCTTCCTCATGGGCTTTGGTAGGCGGCTGCATGGCCTGACTGAGAAGGTACATTGCATACGTAATATCTGGACGTGTGACAGTGAGATACAGAAGACGACCAATGAGGTGGTGATATGACATGGGATCATCTGTCGGTGGAAAAGGTAGGTCACCAGGCTGATGTTGTTGCTCAATGGGAGTGGAGCATGGTTTTGCCGCCTCCAAACCAGCCTCAGCAAGGATGTCGAGCACATACTTGCGTTGATTAAGAACCTGATAGAAACCTATTTCTTAGTGTTTTAATTATTAATTATGGTAAGATAATTACTATTAGGGTTGGTAGTCTTTTAGTCGTATTAGGGTTATTATTAGGTTTTCCTATCTTTTCCTATATATATGTACTTGGGTATTTCGTTATAATCAAGCAAGAACTATTATTCAGAAAGAATCTCTCCCAAAACCCTAATCCTCTATCTCCTCAATTCTAGATCTCAATCCCTCTAAAGGCCTAGGCCGATTCTCTATCTTTCTCTTCTCAAATCCCTAATTCTATTCTTAATCCCTAAATTCCAACTTCACAATCCGATCGATAGAATCCTTTAACTAGGTTCTATCATTTGGTATCAGAGCCAACATGAGTTCTTCAAAGCTAAACGATCTGGCATGGGCTCGCATAAGACAGAAGATCGACTACACGCTAGCCGAGCTCAAACGAGAGGCACGTGACCGTGGGTGCGCTACGGCGGCGGCGGCGGAGGAAACCCCAGCCGCGGGGTCGGGCGCGACGCCAGCCATGACGCGGCAGGGAGGCGCGGCGACGCTGTCGCCGTCGGAGGGCGTTGGCCTTCTGTGCGCGGCGGCAGGCGAGCAAGGCGAGGAGCTCAGGGGAGCTTTGGAGGCTGGCAGCGAGGCTTCTCGCTAGGCGGTGGATCCCATGGCGGCGGTGCTGCCTTGTTGGTCGCCGAAGGAGACGTCGCCAACCGGGAAAATGAAGGACGAGACAAGGCCGGAGTTAGGGTTCGCTCCCCGCTGCGTGGTGCCCTGTTCGCCGCCGCTGAAGAAGAAATCAGCGGAGGAGACTCAACAAACCCCGGCGTCTTCCTTCGAGGCGATGGTGGGCGAGCAATCCCTAGCGGCTTCAGCTGCTGCATCGAGCGCTGAGGAGCCTGCATCAAATCTAGAATTGGAAGATGTAAAATCTGGAGCCACCGCAATTCCATCAGCTGTTGTCCATTATGAAGGTCTGGCTGCAGAGATCCTAGGAGAACAGAAGCCGGTTCCGGCGATTACCTCCATACTTGCTCACGTCGTCTCAATCGCGGAACAGACCACCAGCGTTGCAGGCTCGAAGGTCACAATCTTCGTGTGCAGGGCGGAAGAATCGTGCATTCAAAAGCCAGAAGCGGATATGAAAGTGGACAAGATATTGCGAGTCAATTATATAGGGTCCGAACCTCTAATTAGCACCTCACTGGTGAAGATTGGCAAGCTTACTTGGAAGTACAGAAAGAAGAAGAGACCTGGATATGGCTCCGAGTTTGAGAAGCAGAAGGGTCATGAGAGGTTGACCATCACAGGGAGCGAAACAAATGAGAATTTGGTGTTGCGTCACGCGAAGCCGCGAGGCCAACCGTTGGAGCAATCACTAGCAGCGGCTCCAATCGTGTTGGTGACGTCGGATCGGGAGGAAGAGGCGGAGCAGATTTTCCTGGAGCCATCACCGGAGCCGCAAATTGCGCTACTAGCGCGACGATCATTGGCTCTTTCCTTCGTGGCAGCGACGGGAGTGCAAGCAAACACGAGGGCGAAGTCGGCATCTAACTTGCCTCGTGGCTGTCAGGCGAACCGCTCACCGCGGGAGAACTGGATGAAGGAGATGGTAGGAGGCTCGCCGGAGATGGATTCTCGGGAGAAGGAAACAGAGGGAGGCGACGGGGAGCTTTCCCACGCGTTGCCGGAGATGGAGAAGGAGCCAAGGGCGGCACCGAGGTCGGGCTGGTCCTTGCATCCTCTAGACCACTGCTCGTCGACGGATGAGAAAACGAGGAAGAAGGTGGAAGCGGCGGCGCCCTCGGCGTTAGACGACGAGGAAGCGGCGTCGGTGGTACGTTGGACGTCCTGTCGGCAAAATGGTTCGCCGCCGTGGGGATCGAAGGGGGTGAAGGAGAGAGGCGGCGTCGCTTTCACCAACCCTATGTGGTTTGAGTTGAGCCGAGGAGCACAACAGCAGCAACCCTTTCGATTGGGCCGAGCGGATGGGGATGCATCTTTGGAGGGGCCGAGAATAATGGGCCATGGGGTGGAGAAAGGGAAAATAAACTTGGACCAAGGAATGGGCTGGTTCTTGGTCAGAAAAGTCAACATAGCAGGCCTAGGATTAAGCAAGGTTTGGGTCCCCATGGGCCAATTCTTGAGCATCATATGAGCAGTCTGACTTGGGCTCTTTTGTATGGAGTTGGGATGGAGTCATTAGACGACGAGGACCAGAAGATTGGGACGCAACTTATACCTGCCTGGGCTGAGAAAGAATTCAGCAATGAGTCAAGCAATGAAGGCTCGCAAGTGTGTCAAGGAGAAGAGGTGCAATACATTCACGGAGGATTCAGACCGGCAATGGACCACCATGAGCCACCTTCATATGAGGCTAGGGAATTTGAAGAATGGCCTAGCAGGTTAGCAAAAGAGTCCTTCGGGAAGGAGGACAAGCCTAGGGAAGCAGAAGGTGTGCCATTGAAGGAGAGATTGACAGCTCTTGACCAGCCTGTGAGTTGGGGTGAACCGACCCACCCGTCCAACCCGACCCAACCCACCCGTATTTATCGCTAAAATGAAGGTTTTGGGTTGGGTGAAGGTTTTCTTTTGTACAACCCGCCTCTTTTGGGTTGGGTTTGGATTTTGGATTACACAACCCGTAGAACCCGACCCAACCCGTGTTCCAACTATTAGTATGAGTTCGTATCTAAAAAATATTTGTGTCGTATATAGCAATACTTATGAGAAAATTAAGATATTTCGCCATGTTTTTCTATCATGGTCTCCCTAATCTAATGCATTCTTCGACTTAAAGTTTAGACATAAATTGAGTATAGTTATGATTCACGTAATCCTTTTTCTTGTGTACAATTTTAATAGAATAACATATTATGGATGCGTTTGTTTATAACCTTTTTAGCCTATTTCAACAAATATTGTGAAAAAAACTAGACATATGTTGAAGTAAATCACATTTTATTAAAATTCAAACAACATTTTTGAATTTTGATAGCTTTCACCTCGGTTTATTCGTTTGAAATTTTAATTAGTTATAAAATATTTTTATGGTGTATAATAATTATATATTTTTATGTTGGGTTGGGTTTTTACTTAAAAATATCGCCAACCCGACCCAACCCAATTAGAAACAAACCATAGGGTTTTAATTTTTTTGGGTGGGTTTGGGTTTGATAATTTCCAAACGGTAGTGCATGGGTCGGGTGATTAAAATGGTTAAACCCGAACCACCCGACCCATGTACACCCCTACCTGTGAGGGCCGTCGCGAAAAGGACAGTGCGAGTACTCGTACCAGATTGGAAGAAAAGAAAAAGACAAAGCACGAATTGCACGAGGTAAACGTGGAAGTGGATCAAGCAGGTCAACCTTGAGGGCAAGGTTGGTCTCAAGGGAGAGGGGATGATAGAAACCTATTTCTTAGGGTTTTAATTATTAATTATGGTAAGATAATTATTATTAGGATTGGTAGTCTTTTAGTCGTATTAGGGTTATTATTAGGTTTTCCTATCTTTCCCTATATATATGTACTTGGGTATTCCGTTATAATGAAGCAAGAACTATTATTCAGAAAGAATCTCTCCCAAAACCCTAATCCTCTATCTCCTCAATTCTAGATCTCAATCCCTCTAAAGGCCTAGGGCGATTCTCTATCTTTCTCTTCTCAAATCCCTAATTCTATTCTTAATCCCTAAATCCCAATTTCACAATCTGATCGATAGAATCCTTTAACTAGGTTCTATCAGAACCATACCACGCGGAGAGTGAGCCACTTAAATCCCGAGAAAGTACTTGAGTGGACCAAGGTCCTTGATAGTAAACGGAGAATGAAGAAACTCTTTCACCCGAGTGATGAAACTCAATCCGTACCTGCAAGTATCACATCGTCGACATAAATGAGGGCGACTACAAAGATGTCACCACGCTGGTTGGTGAAAAGGGCATGATCCGCCCGGCTCTCGACTAAATCAAATTCCAAAAGCGCTTGAGTAAAGTTTTGGTACCAATTCCTGGAAGCCTGCTTCAAACAATAAATAGACTTTCACAGTTGACATACACACTGCTCCCTCAGACGAGCAAAATCCTGTGGTATTTTCATGTAAACTTCTTCGTGGAGATCTCCATGAAAGAAAGCATTATTTACATCCAACTAATGAATATGCCAGCCACGTGCAACAGCTACAGCAAGAAGATTCCGGACAGTAACGAGCTTTGCCACAAGGGGCAAAGGTGTCATGATAATCCACACCCTCGACTTGAGTTTAACCCTTAGCAACCAACCGTGCTTTAAAACGCTCAACTGACCCATCCAGATTGAATTTTACTTTGTAAAACCATTTGCTATCAATGGCTTTCTTCCTAAGAGGAAGAAACACTATGGTCCAGGTACCATTCTCAACCAAAACATCAAACTCCCTCTGCATGGCTTCTCGCTAATGCTTACACTGCACGGCCTGAAAGTAGTGCGAGCATTCAAAGACAGAACTCACCGCCACGACGAACGCATGGTGAGAAACCGACAAACGATGATACTTCACATAATCGTCGAGGGGATAAGTAACTGTCGCATAATGAGCTACTCCAGGGAGTTTCACGTCGTACCCTCGAAGTCGAGTAGAAGGGAATCATTGACGATCACCTCGGAAAACTAGGGCTGGAGCCGAGGGAGAAAAAGATGAGGCACTCGGAAGAGCCTCACTGTCCATAGGAGGCTCGTGAGCGCTATGGGAAATGAGCTTGGCAGTAGCGGGAGACTGAGCCCGGTGGCGCAGGGTTGTGGAACACGACAGCTCCTCATGCTGCTTTTCTCCTTGAGGCAAGGATGAAGACGAAGCAGGAGGTATGAGGAACTTGTCCTCATCATCAAACACACGTGGCGCCGGACTACCAAACTATGGGACCGACACTGTAACAGGAGTGAGGGACGAACCAACCTCCAAATCTCGAGATAGGAATACGGATTCAAGGAATTTGACATCTCGCGAAGTATAAATAATGCGAGCCTCAAGATCATAGATGCGATAGCCACGTTGACTGGAAGGATAACCAAGAAAAATACCAGCTCTGTGACTCGACTCTACTGTCACCCTAGGAATTGGCCAAGTGAAACCACTTCCTAAAGCGTAGTATAGCGGGTTAGGTTTATATGTCAACCCGGGTCCTAGATTTGATGACTACTCAGTGAATTCTTGTTATCTAGCAATGAAACTGGAATGCAAGTCTAAACTACCAAACAAACAAAGCAAGTAAACTGTTGTATTCAGGTTAAGAGAGGTCACCCGGATATGGTTCCCCCTAGACTGCAGTTAAGCCGGATTGTAATTACCAAGTTCAGTTTCTATGAAAGTTATACTGCGGAAGGTTCTTAAACAGCCTGAAGTCTCGACTAAAGGTCTTCAGACCCTCTCAATCTGAATCTCTAGCGGGCGACTAACCTCCACCGGAGTAGACAAATTGAGGCCCTAAGAACAAAACCTCCACTACCGGAGTAAATCCGGTACAAAATAGTGAGTTGGTTCCTCGACTAAAGTCACCAACTCCCTACCTTCAATCAAGGATACTCTACTAACCTAGGCAGATATTCTCATTCTAGGTTAAAGCAGAAACAACAGGAATTTGATCAGGATTCAAGTCATTCAATCATTAAAACCTCAATCGAATATAATGAATCACAGAATCAGTACTTGGGTTCATACAATCAAAGCCTAACATACAAATCTAGGGTTCTCCATACCCAGATGAATGGGAGAACTACTCCATAGAGAAGAAAGCAAAAGCAGAATCAGACACGGAATTCATACTGGGAAGGATGGATTCCTGCTTCTGGACGTTGATCGGCACTTCTCCAAGCTCAAGCTGGCCTCCAATGGTGTTGAAGATCAATCTATGGCACTTGGGAACTCTTGCTCATCACTTTCTCTCTCTAGGAATCGCTCTCTTTCTCAAAAACCCGAATCCCCCCGAGTTGTGGCTGAAATTCTGCTTAAAAGGAGAAAATCCCGACTCACACGGCCAGGGTGGCACGGCCGTGCAGCTCACCCAGTTGCCCGTGTGAATCAAAACGCATCGTTTCATTTAGTTCGAATTCCAGGCTCTTTGCACGGCCAGAATGGCACGGCCGTGTGGACATCCCCTCTTGCCCGTGTTTGCTCTCGCAGAATGTGGCACGGCCAACTCGGCCACTTGCACGGCCGTGTCGATCCTCTACTCTGCCCGTGTGTGCTCTCGGCAAAACTCGCACGGCCAGGCCATTACTTCACACGGCCGTGCGAACATCAGGGCAGCCCGTGTGACCTCCTTTGTAACTTGTCTCGCGCCCGATCTTCACCCAATCGACCCCGAACTCGCTCCTAAACCTTCATTCACTTGCCAGGACCTGAAATATCACAAACAAGCATAACCTAGCGTGAAATCGGTCTAAAACACGAGAAACCACATCTCCAACGGTGTAAGAACAGGGGTGAAAACATGTGTAACTAACGGTCTATCACTCTGCCATGAGCATCAAACTTATGCAGGTTATGATGAGTGTCGCGAGCATACACCAAGCATCCAAAACTACCTAGGTGATTATATTTTGGAGCTTTGTCGAAGAGAACCTGGAAAGGAGATTTATTCCCAGTAGGTACAAGGGGAATTCTATTGATCAGATAGGAAATCGTCAAGACACACTCTCCCTAGAACTTTAGAGATAGATTAGCGTGGAAGCGCAAGGCATGAGCAGTATCCAACATATGTCTGTGTTTGCACTCAACCACACCGTTTCTGCTGTGGGGTGTCTATGCAGGAAGTCTGCAAGATGATATCGTTCTTTTTGTAGTATTCAGTAAGTAGTACTCAAAAATTCGGGACCATTGTCTGCTTGAATACGGCGCACATGTTTCCCAAACTGCGTATGAGCCATATTACAGAAGTACAATAAGTAACGAGTTGCATCTGATTTATATCGAAGCAAGAAAACCCAGACAACATGACTAAATTCATCAACGATAGTCAAAAAATAATGTGCTCCAGTCATGGAGGCAGTTTTATAACCTCCCTAAATATCCACCTGTATAAGCTCAAAACAAGATGCAGTCTTAATATTGCTAGAATCAAAAGGATCATGTGTCTGTTTAGCCCTCAAACAAGACCGACAAGGCTCTTTATTATGAAT